GGGGGGGGGGACCAGAAAAACACTGCCCAAGGTGAGAAAACCAGAGCTCCCAGCCCTGAGTCTGATGGTCCCCCAGTGTGACACTTTCTCATCCATCATCAAACCCTTAATGTTTTTTTCCTGAGCCATCTAGTAGTGTCTTCCTGCTGTGCCTGCCATGCCAACGATGTTTTTGGTTGGATTTCTTTTGATGTCCACCTGTGAATTTAACTGTTTTCCCATGTTCCACATGGGTAACACCCAGAATTTCATCCACAAAGTGTGGGATCCTTCTAGCAATTCATAAACTTTAAAGATAAAAATGTGATACTAGACAATGTGTAATCTCTGTGTACTGGGCTGCAGTACATAGTATATTTTCAAAAGTGTGTATAAATTTTTCTAGATAAAGTCCTAGCAAGAAATTCACACTTTTACCTAATTTGTAGCAACAATGTATGGAATTTGTGTGGGAAAATGTTTAGCTGTGATAAAAAAGGCTGATTTGTCTGACACACAGGACATGTGGGCGTTTCTTATGGTGTGAAACCATTTCTCTCTATCTCCGGTATTAATACTCTTTATTTGGCAGCTTGGGGGTGAGTCCACCCACAGCGGCCTGTTCTGCAGAGGCCAACTGTCAGAGATAAAGCTATGGTCCTCTTAGAGGAGAGGTTATCGTCCGCATAGTTCACTAAATACCCCCCTCACAAAATAATTGTTTCATGTGGGTATCTGTTTCCATTTCACAGTTTTAAATGGTTATAATGAATGGAAAATTTTCAAGTTAGGCATGATTCTGCTTTACAGGCTCAAAGTATAGTTAGCATTTCATTTATTTTTACGGTATCCTAAAGAAGGTCCTCTGAACTTAGAATTTAAGAAACAGGGGAAGACTAGAAATGACTCAGTAGTTAAGACCACTTACTGTTCTTGAGGAACACCTGAGTTCGATTCTCATCAGTCACATGGGGCAGCTCATACCCAGTAGTGGCTCTAGCTCCAGGGGATCTGAAACCCTCTTTATTTGGGGGTAGGGAGACTGCAACAGGTTCTCTCTGTAGCCCTGGCTGTCCTGGAACTCACAGAGATCCAACTCCCTCCCTCTGCCTTCCGAGAGGTGGAATGAAAGGCGTGGGTGGCACCCTCTTCAGAGCTTGTTTTTCTACCCGTGATTTCTTACATTTCTGTAGCTCTGTTCATCTCAGAACCTAGCCTTCCCCTCCCCAGCACAGAGAAGAACTCACCTGGCTCCGGTGCTGGACATAGCTGTGTGTTTAGGCTTGATGTAGGTAAAATGGAAACAGTTGATTCAAATTTCTGAAGTGGCATGGCAGCTGTTTACTGTGTCCCTGGCCTTTGATCCCTGGTCTATTCTTTTTACAGTCATCCGGATAATATCATTCCAGACAATGAAGATCCAGAACCCAAACCTATGATCATTGGCACCAATAATGTGTTTGAAGTTGGCTGTCGTATCCTTTGCAATAATCTGCCACAAATCATTCCCAGATGGTTCTGTTGCTCAGACCCCTCCCCGTGTAGAAACTGATACACCTTACCTATCACATATATTTAAAATATATATAGACTAGGCTATCAGGACTTTAAACAGGCCCATTTGCAGTATGTTAAGAAATCTTTTCTGGGACCTGGGGAGATGGCTCAGTGGTTAAGAGCACTGGCTGCTCTTTCAGAGGACCCAGGTTCAATTCCCAGCACCCACATGGTAGCTCACAACTGTCTGTAACTCCGGTTCTAGAGGATCTGACACCCTCACTATACATGCAGGAAAACACCAGTTCAAATAAAAAAATAAATCATTAAAAATTTTTAAAAAGAAATCTTTTCTAAGAAAGAGGAAAGAGACGAAGTGGGGGATGATTGAGTGATGGAGATAGATATATCTTTCTGGGATTGGGCTATGGGTATAGCACATGGAGCATGTGTTTCATCTCTATCACCACAGGAAACAAAGTCCCTCAGTAAGGTAAATACTGACCCTAATGTGGAGTGGCTCATGCACTCATGCAGGCACACCTTTAGCAATCTGAAAGTCATTTACTAGGACTGCCTGGTGACAGGTAACTATGGTGAGGACATTAGACACTTAGAAGCTAATTCTAGCTCCTGTCTGATGTCAGAGCCAGCAGGGTAGCTCAGCAGTCAAAAGTACTTGCCACCAAGCTTCTGAAAGGTTCAAACCTCCTGAGTTCAGTCTCCCAGTTGCACGTGGTGGAAGGAGAGAACTGACCTCTTCAGTTTGTCCCCTGAACTTAACACATCCCAGCACACATGTATTCTCAGACACAAATATATACATATATGAAGTAAATGTAATAAAGTACTTAAAGGCTTATGGGTCATTTCTTTTTCTTTTTTTCTTTCTTTTTGGGTTTTTTGTTTGTTTGTTTGTTTGTTTTTGTTTTTCGAGACAGGGTTTTTCTGTGGCTTTGGAGGCTGTACTGGAACTTGCTCTTGTAGACCAGGCTGGTCTCGAGCTCACAGAGATCCGCCTGCCCCTGCCTCCCAAGTGCTGGGACTAAAGGTGTGCGCCACCACCGCCCAACTGGATCATTTCTTTATACTGGGAGATATTTGTGTTTGAGAAGTAAAGCTTTGCTATAGATTGGCCCTAAGCAAAGAATTCCAGCAAGGCTGAGTCTGTGCGGCCCTTCTCACACCTCTGTCCCCAGTACACTGTGAGGACATTCTGCATTCATGGGAAAAAGAATTGACTTAATTCAGGTTTACAGATTCCCAAGCCATGAAAATGGGAGATAATAATGTCATTGAATCAAAAGGTAAGTTGTGTCTAGAGTTTTATTGTCAATGTAATCGCCTCCTTTCTCTTTGCTGTGTCCAGGGAAACAACCTAAGTCCAAGCAAGGTGGCATGCTTGGATTGGACCAGAGTCATTGTCATTGCCTCAAAAGAACCTAACCTAGTTATGTGGTTATCTGAGAATGCAGCTAACTCCATTAAGTTAAAAAGCCAGCTGTGTACAGTTAAGTTGGGGCTGGATTAAAGCTCCATTGAAAGACTTGAGATAGACTTCCACTACATGTGTTGGCAGCACTATAGTCGATGTGCATTCTTGTAGAATGAGAGAGACAAATGGCAGCTTTGCCAAAAATTTCTTTATTTAATTTCAGGACTGCTTTACCCTAACCAATCAGAGACAAATGTCATCTACTTGTCAAAGTTATAGCCAGGCAGGGGATTATGTGAGGTCCACAACCCTGCTGGGAACCAGCTTGTCCTTCGGTTCAGAGACAACACTGTTGTAGAACATTGCTCTGTCTTTCTCAACCCTGACTGATGTGAAAGAGAATGCTGCTTCTCTGAAATAACAACAGTACACTTTCCGTTCATTTGTTCAATAGTTTTAGTTTTCATTATGGAGTGTTAGCATCACTGTTGGCCTTTCTTTATTTCTGAGTGTCAGGCTGTACTCAACACTGTATGTTCATTACCTATTGATCCTTAAAGGGAGCAGAGAAGGACAGTAGACTCCTTGCTCCGTGATCTTACTTGCCCAGTGCTACACAGCCTGTTGGCGGGGACGCTAATAAATCCACCCACACTCACACACGGCCTGTTTCTGTGCTGTCTGCCATCACTGTACCTAAGCATTGTCTTTCAGTTTCTTCTTAAGACCTGTTTATGTTTTTACACCTAAGCCATAGAGGGAAAGGGTAAACAATGAGAAATGTCAGTACTCACTGTCTTAACTTGTGATTCTGTCTTCATCGAAGCATACGTAGGCAGAAATGTAATCTTGACCAGTGGTTGCATCATCGGGGCTTGCTGCAATCTAAACACTTTTGAAGTTATCCCTGAGAACACAGTGATCTATGGTGGAGACTGCCTACGAAGGGTGCAGACCGAGCGGCCACAGGTACTAGAACCTCTCTTTAAAAGGAGTTAGTTCCTCTAGGGCCACTAACTTTCCCAGAGTTGCATATGATTGTCTCAATGGGCAGCAGATAATTAGGGGCTGTGGGTGTGACTCAGCAGAATGATTAGCATGCAAAGCCCTGGGTTCCATCCCCAAAGGCAAATGAGTAAAACATCAGAGAAACGTTCCCCAAATTTGGATTTATTTGCAGTTCAATCATGATTCTTTAGATTAAAATCAAATATATAAAAAGTGTGTGTGTGTGTGTGAGAGAGAGAGAGAGGGGGGGGGGAGGAGGGAGGAGAGGGAGAGAGAGAGAGGAGAGAGAGAGAGAGAAGAGGATCTGGAATTGTTATTCTGATGCACCATTGACCCTCACACCAAAATATAAATTCACTGATTCACTTCTAAAATACAAATCTTCAAGATGAGGAATGGTCCTACAAACGTGCAGACTGGAATTTTAAAGCTCATGTCTTGGCATGCTCAGTATACCTTCCTTGAGCTTCCTTTTCTTCCCCCAAAAGAAATATTTTCAAGACATTTGATACTTGACCTTTCTTCGCCATATTTTTAATAATAAATCAAAACCAGTTCTTTCTAGATTCTTCCACTTTTCCATTCTCAGAGTTTAATATAGCCCCTGGCAGTCTGGAACTTACAGCCAAGGATGACCTTGAACTTCTGTCCTTCTGATTCCAACTCCTAGGCTGGGATTACTGGTGTGCACCACTGTGCCTCATTTGTGTGGTGCTGAGAAGCAAACTCAGGGTTTCATGGATGCTAAGCAGCCACACACTACTGACTGAGCCACCTCCTTATCCCTATGGGGCTACTCTTCTTTTGTAGGCTTGGCATCATTATCAGCAGCAGCAGCTGGTGTTCCATAGGCTAAAGGAAAATTAAGTTTTTAAATTATCTTTGTGTAATAACAAAGGTGACTAAAAGGGAGAGAAATAAGCTAGAACTGGAGAGTGTTGATTAGAATGAAGTGAGCAAGAGCAGCAGAAGTCTAATGTCATAGATGTGCAGCTGTCTCCCAAGTGTCACCAATCGTAATGTGACCATCACACAGTGGTCTTTATTAAGACAGGTTACTCGTTCTCTGACAGTGTCTAAGGTGGAATCCCTGCTTTTCACAAGTCCCTCAAGTGAGTCCACAGTCAGGAGATGGACAGCACTGGGCCATGGAGAGACAAGCTCAGCTCAAAGCATCACAGAGCTTGTAGGAAGCACTCTTAATGTTTAGAAGCCAGACAGAAATCTGTAAACAGAAATTTGAAAATGTTTTCCTGTGTGTTTTTGTATGTAAAATTGTTTGGCTTTATGATGATGACATTACCACTACAGATTTAAGCCATCAAATGGGTCAAGAAAAATAAATCCATGAAAATCATGTTGAACTCCATCAACAGCTAACATTTCTACCTGTATTATTGACCTTGTGTTCTGCCATCTTCATCTTCTCGTCTTTTCAGCCCCAGACACTACAGCTGGATTTCTTGATGAAAATCTTGCCCAATTACCACCACCTAAAGAAGACCACAAAGGGAGGCTCTACCCCAGTTAAGAACTAAGAAGTTGTCAAAATGGTGACCATCTATGCTGACTTTTGAAAGGGCCCAGTGTTTTAACAATGTGTTCACTTTGTGTTGGAAGCTTTATGGAGAGAGGTGGGTAACGTGGTAACTGCCTTTATAATTTATATGGAGTGTATTGTTTTTTTGTCCTTGTTGTGGTAATTTATAGACTCAGTTTTTCTTTTCTGATACAAAATATTAGCCATGCATTTATTATGTAAAAGACTATCCATGATGACATGTCATGTTGTGTTTATATTCTAATGTAACCATAACTAAATAAAAGTTTGGCTACTTGCTTTAATCTTCCCAAATAGCTGCCTCAGTTTTTATTAGTAGTATTTATGATACATCAAAGCTGAGGTTCTTCCCCTTACCTCTTGTGTATTTATAGCTGTTTAAAAATGGTGGCACACTCGGGAGGTAGAGGCAGGTGGATCTTTGTGAGTTCTAGTCCAGCTTGGTCTACATAGTGAGTTCCAGGACAGGACTTCAAAGCTACATAGAAACACTGTCTCGAAAAAAAAGGAAAAAAAAAAAAAAGAAAGAAAGAAAGAAAAGAAAATGGAGGTGACGGTGACGGACTGGAGAATGGTTCAGTCGTGAGGAGCATTGGCTGCTCTTCCAGAGGAGCTGGGTTTGACTCCCACCACCCACATGGTAGGTCACACCTATCTGTAACTCCATGTGAGGGCTGGAAGATATTCCCTGTTAAAGTTGAGGCTCACAACGGAAGATGTGAGTAAGGTTTCAGTAGCAGCTGAGTGTAGACCTCACTGGTTTAAACGAGAATATATCTGTATGTTTCTTCTCTCAGTCAGTCTTCAGGTAGAGAAGCCTCAAGAACATCAGAAGGAATCATCTCTGATTCAAATGGCAAGCAAATGACCACTTAGATTAGTGTACTCCTGAGTTTCTGAGGACAGTAAAACTAAGATTGAGGGCTGGAGAGATGGCTAATGTATAAAAGCAACAGAAACTTGCCACCAAGCCTGGTGACCTGAGTTCCATCCCCAGAGCTCACCCAGTAGGAGAGAATGGTCTCCCACAAACTGCACACACATACACGGAAAATAAATGTAGGGAGATAAATATATGAAGTTATTTTGACATGATACTAATCACTAACTATTCAGTATGTATAATGTTGCTTATCTAATTATGTAAGGACTGTGGGGTGAACATAAGATATATGTTCAGCACACATTCTAGCCCTGAGCCACACCTACACCTGCAGCTCCTCATATCTTAATCATCCAATATAGTGGTACATACAACTAATGGAACACAAGTATTCAGCTTGTGAATGGCTTTAATACCAAGATACTAAGTTATAAGATTAATGCCAGGCAGTGGTGGCAGGCACCTTTAATCCCAGCACTCTGGAGACAGAATCAGGGAGATCTCTGTGAGTTTGAGGCCAGCTTGGTCTACAGAGAAAGTTCCAGGACAGCCAGAGACACAGAGAAATCATGTCTCAAAACAGAAAGAAAGAAAGAAAGAAAGAAAGAAAGAAAGAAAGAAAGAAAGAAAGAAAGAAGAAAGAAAAGATTAATACTAAGATATAGTGTCTTGATACTTAATTTTAATCTGACTAGAATCTAGAACGGAGTTTTACATTTCTGAAACTCGTGAAATTTTATTTTGGTACGAATATGCATGACTCGGGGCTGGAGAGATGGCTCAGAGGTTAAGAGCACTGACTGCTCTTCCAGAGGTTAATTCCCAGCAACCACATGGTGGCTCACAACCATCTGTAATGAGATCTGGCACCCTCTTCTGACCTGCAGGCATGCATGCAGGCAGAATATTGTACATATAATAAATAAAATGAGGCGTTAAAAAAAAATATCCATGACTCAGGGTGGATCACTTAACTGTAGTGGACTGAACAGAGCCGTGGGGACAAGAAAACATGGAGGCGATGCCCCACTTTTGATAACTGTCATTCCCTTTTCAACATCTGATGGTGAAATCAGAATTCTGTTGGTCATGGAAATTCAGAAATTACAGAGCTGAGCCAAGCTGAGCTGAGCTAGTAGTATGACCTGTAACCTCAGCTGTTCTGGAGGCTGAGTGGGACAATGGAACATTCAAGGTCTGCCTGGTCAATTTATCAAGACCTTGTTTCAAAGAGTAGAACCAGAGCTTGGAGGTAGACTACTCGCTTAACGTGTGAATTACAGGTTTCCATCCTCAGCACCTTTAAAATACTACCTAGGAAACACTACACTGGCTCTAAAATGCTCTTGGACAGGTTCTACCGTGCCTCATAATGGCTGCTGTGAAGCGCAGTTAGCAACGGCAAGAGCAGACGCTGCCTAAGGACTCGGCAATAAGAGCCGGAAGAGTCCAGTTTAATGACTTCACACATAGTGAAGGGCTAGGGTGTGACAATTCCTAGGATTCATGAGGCCCTGGGCTCTCTCAAGCTCTGAGGGAAGTGTGCTGAGAAGACCCTGGGCATTTCTCAAGCACTCTGTAGGTTATGAAGGAATAGTAACTCAACTGAGGGCAGAAAATGTAAACAGAAACAATCTACCAAAACAGATTTTAGAGAAACTGAATGTTACGGCAACTGTACTGTTATCCATGAAGGGAGGTCTTGAAGCTGGGAGCTCGAAGCCATTCTATAACTTAGAGTTCTCTCATTTCAGAGGATCAGCTGTGGCTTGAGAGAGGCAGAACATACCTCAGATGTAGCCACTTTTTTTTTTTTTTTTTTTTTTTTTTTTTTAAGCATTAATTGAAGGCTTAGCTGAACCACCGTCTAGTTTCAGGCGAAGCTGTGAACTTCATTCCAGGTAAAGGAGGCGCTCTGGCCAGGAACAGCATTCAGTCTGCACATAAAATCTCTGAGGAAGCTCTCTGGCTTACACATTTATCTCATGTGCATTTAGTTTCTGTGGATTTGCCCTTGGGCCTTTAAGTTTCCCAGCCTCTGAATATCCTGGTTAAGTAGCGTTTGACTCTACAAGATGAAGAGCTAAAGCCCAGACATTATGCAGCTCTCTCCCCTCTGTAGCTAGGCTACCAGCCTTCCTGTGGCATGCCCCCACCAAATGACCACACCATCCTAGACAGTAAGCTCCATGGTAGAATAAGCCGACTGATGTACCCTGTCTGTGGTAGCAACCAGTCAGGAAAGAAAGAAACTTTCCCTGGGTCTTGATGCAGTTGTCACTAGCTCTTGAGTCAGGGATGGATTTCACCAGGTGAAATGTCAAGTCTGGAAAATGTTTATACCACACATCATACGTATACTGCACCAGTTGCCTGTGCTGTATGGTAAATTGCCCTAAATCATTAGAATCAAACAGCGTGTATGTTGTTACTGCCTAGTTTCTGAGGAGCCGGATTCGGGATGGCTGGGCTGGGTTTGGTTTCTGTCAGCAGCCACAGCTCCAATCATCAGATGAGGAGGCTGTAGGAACTGCTCCGAGATGCTGGTCATGGTTGTCAGTGGGAAGCCTCAGTTCATTATCGATTAAGAGCACTTGAGCATCCTCATGACACAGTGGCTGACTTCCTTTAAAACTGTCTGATCTAGACTCTCCCTAAAAGTCTCCGCACTATAGGAAGATGAGTTTGGAAGACAGTTTCTTATTAATGTCATGGCCCATGACACGTCAAAGCCTTCCCTCTTAAAACCATCCCGAAGCTTTCGTAGGGTATTTTCTAATAGAAAGCATGCAATACCAACTGTCTTGATTCAGCTTACGTCTGATACTGTCTGGAATTGACCCAGAGTCTACAGACTGGAGACTGTCTCTATCTTGTTTGCTAGCTGCAAGTGGACAAAACTATCCGTACTGCTGCCCAGTAAAGTAGAAATATGGAGTTCCTATGATCACCCCTTTTTAATAATTATCTAAAAAGACCTATGGGACTCAGAGGTGTAGTGGCTAGTTTTATGTCAACTTAACACAAGCTAGAGTGATCTGAAAAGAGGGAACATCAATTGAGAAAATATCTCCATAAGATCCTGTTGCAGGGCATTTTATAAGAAGTGATCCATGGAGGGAGGATCCATCCCATGGTGGATGATGCCATCCCTGTGCTGATGGTCCTGGGTTCTTAAGAAGGCCTGAGCAAGCCAGTAAGCAGCACCCCTCCATGTCAGCTCCTGCCACCAGGTTCCTGCCCTGTTTGAGTTCCTGTCCTGATTTCAATGATGAACTACAATGTGGAAGCTTAAGCCAAATAATTTCTTCCTCCCCAAGTTGCTTTTAGGTCATGGCGTTTCATCATATCAATAGAAACCCTAACTAGAACAAGAGTTACACTCACTGTTGCAGACCCAGTGTAGAGGGTACAACTTGGGTAGCAGAGTGGAAGAGGCGAGCAGGGTAAGAGGTAGAGACCAGATGGCATGGGGCTTCATTTCATTGGGGGCGCCATTCTCCCTGTATGGCAGTGTGTTGCCAAGTGGCAGTTCAGTGAATGTTACCTGAGGGGTTTTTACCCATTCTCCAGTTCTACCCTCCTTGGAGTTTGTGGGGGTGGGGCCAAAGCAATTATTCTCATCACCTGGGCTCAGCATACACGAGATGGTAAGTTCTAGAAGTTTGTGCAAATCAACACCAGGAACCAAGACAAAGGCCAAGTATTTTTGTCTTACTGTTTAGAAATGCCCCTAAATAGAACATAAATCTCATTAGGCATCAGTTTAACTTGTCTAGGCTTAATAGAAATTATTACTAACAAAAGCCTTGAAGGATAATATTCAGTGAGAGAACGCCGGAAATACTAAACTACTCTTAACACTAATAAACATATTTAGTCAACTCTGACTTTAAAAATTGTGTTTATTAAACTTGCATGGAGGAGCTAGAGAAATGATTCAGCAGATAAGAAAGTGAAATGTGACCTTCTAGAGGACCTGAAATTGGTCCCCAGGACCTGTGTCAGGCAGTTCACAGCCACCTCTCCGACTCAAGAAGGATCTGGTGCCTCTAGCCTCCAACAGGACCTGCACCCCTGTGGACAGTCCCTGACTCCTCCAAACACATAATTAAATATAATGAAAATAACCTGTGCCAGGTGTGGTGGCACACAACTTTAATCCCAGCACTAGGGGCTGGGGGGACAGCCAGAGGTAGGATAGCCTGGGGTCCAGGATAGCCAGAAAAACCCTATCTCAAAACAAAACAAACTACGTGTACGTGGAGCTTAACTACACACATGGCAGTTCATTTACTACATAGTGACTTATTCAGTTCTTCCAATCAGATGATACCACCTGTGTTTTGCAGATGTGGAAACCTGATGTGTTGCCTTTGGAAGTCTCAGACAGCCTTCTAAAAATCTTCCA